GTTTTAAGATTCAGGGTTTTTTTATCCCCTCCTACTCTGATTTGATTGGCAATAAATTAAACTGACTTCACCAAGCTGAGCCTGTTCTGCCCATGACGGTAACTGGTGAGTGATCTCCCCCTGTCCTCGTCTTGACCCATGAGCCTTTCGATTGATATTTCCCTCCCCTGTCCTGTTGAAGAGGGGGTGATAGAGCAGCTTTGGGGTGCACCCGGCATCCAGCCAGGGTCACCCCATCACATCCTTAAAATTGTAAACGCTGAACTCTGTGCCACCAGCACGCTAACAAAATAACCTCCAGTTAAGCGGAATATGCTGTACTAACCTCAGCATTTTATTTTTCAGGAGAACCTGGAAGAGGAAAGTCCTTCTAAGGATTAAGCCAGCGCAGTGCCTCTTTGCAAAACACAAAACCTCAGAGGGCTGAAGATCGCCTACGCCGGGCTCCGAGAGCAGCCTCACGCACCGCTGGCTCTGCGGGAACTGCAGGACGCCACGCTTCCCAAATCGGTCACCCTAGTTTCCGTTTCCCTCAGCTTTCAATAGCAATGTTACCTTCCCTGAAATAAACAGGTTTCCTTCCCATTTCTGCTTACAGCAAATACCTTGTTATCTAGGAGGCAGCTAGACCCCGCGCTCCCCCAAGGGTTTCCCTCTCTGCTTCCCAGGCACTTTATGCCTGCTTTGGCAGCAGGCCAGATCATCACTTTACGGGCCTTGAAACTCCGTAGGCAGGCACGTGGCAGGCTGTATGTCAACATTTTGCAATTTTTAGGCCTCCTTTTTTAGACTGGCTCATGGAAAGTCCACCTCACAGTTCCCTACTGTCTGCCTGGTAGAGCAAAGAGCAGCCACATCATTTCTTCGAAAATAAAAAGAAAAAAATGGCATTTCTGATTGAAATACCAATCCCTGAACATACCGAGTCATACCATTGCCTTGTAAGGGTCTGGATTTCAAAGTCACTGCAGAGGATGGGGCTGGATGGGCTCTGTGGCCATAGAGAAGTCCACAAGGTCTGCTGTGTTCAAAAACTGAATGAGAAAAATGGGAAAACATACTGTATCAGTGTGTTTGCTATAAATGACCTGACACCAATTCTTGGTAGCCATTCCTGTCCTAATTTAGTGGCTTAGTGGTGGGATGGCAGGGTTAGGTTAAAGGTTGGACTCGATGATCTTAAAGGTCTTTTCCAACCAAAGTGATTCTATGATTCTATGAAATTTTCAGCTGATCGTTCCCCAATGAACATAGGAGATCCTTGCGGCTTAAAACAGCCAACTCCAAGACACAGTCTTGAAGAAGCAGCCTTCCCACCTCTTCCTGAAGATAAGCAATGACTACAAGGGAAATGCAATAGTCTCAAAATTACAGTTTGCTTGCAGGGAGGTCCTGAAAACACCACTGCCCATTACCTTCTCCCTGACTGTCATGAACACGTCACAGTGGCTGGCATTGTCTTGGCCCGGGTGAAATATTTGAGTTTGTAGCAGGAGTGCTGTGGCCAGCAGGAGCAGGGCAGTGTTCAGCCTGGAGCAGA